AAAAAAAAAAAAAAAAAAAAAAAAAAAAAAAAAAAAAAAAAAAAAATTATATTCCACGTATAAAATCATCCGATTTCAGTAGAAAACACCTAGAGCATTACTGGAAATAAAGAAGCGGTCGCTCCTGTTGCGCGATCACCCCTTGAAATTCCCGGGGGACCCAGGGATGGGGGTAAAGATAGTCGAATTAGCGAAAATGCAGTATTTAAAGTCATTTGTCACGCGCAATTGTCGCGAAAGATCTGCACGGCGTCTGTTAATTAGACGCGTATAAGTAGCAGGAGCCACGTCGCGTCGGGGCCTTGTGACACAGCGTCCGTCAAGTCTTGGCGACAGATGTACTCGCTGGTGGATGCCGTCAACGACGAGGAGGAACATGAGGCCCCGCAGGGATCTCTTTGGGTGCTTGTGCTGTTTACTACTCATCAGTGCCGAGGGGGTGCACGTCCACTCTCCAACGGATGTGCAGTCCAGGCACGACAGCGACTACTCGCCGGATAAACGTGAGTCTTCCAGAATTTACTTTTTTTTTTTTTTTTCACTGACATGGGACGTGTCAAAGTGTGTGAGTTTTCCTTTCGTGGTTTTCGATTATGTACACTGAGAGAAAAAAAGAGTAAAAATTACTGCGCTAGAGTGGTAATCTGGTACTGTTTGGTCGTCTAGAGACTTTTTACTATTTTGAACAATAATTTTCAATGTTTAGAACAGTCATTTTTATCGTAAGTACAGTGATTCCTAGTGCTTGTACAACAGAAATTACTGCCCAGAATGGTAAAAATTAGGTTGGCCAAAGTACAAAGTCCCTAAATGGCGGAATGACACCAGATTACCATTCTAGCGCAGTAAGGGTTATTTTTTTTTTTCTCCCAGTGTACTCGAGCGAGTCAGACCGATGGTATTCCGTGTTCTTCGACACTCGCATTGTATGACGATATAATGGTAAAAATCGAGCGCGAAAGCCACAACTGCGGAAAAGCAATTGCAAATGAACTCCGGCCGGAATCTGTCTCAATCTCAGGCACGTTCCTTTTCGGCAAACTAGTGATGGTCCCGGTACTGGCGGCTATCGGCCTCAAGTTCCTGGCCCTGCTGCCGATCGTGCTCTCGAAGATCGCCCTGCTCAGCTTCATGAACTTCCTCTCGACGAACCTGAACCTCCTCATCTCCACGTTGTTCAACATGAAGTCGTTTCTGGGCAAACACGGGCTGTGGGCGCAGGAGGATACGAAGCGGCACCCCGACCTCGAGACTTTTGCCGAGTTCGCCAACCAGCCGATAATGCAGCCGAGCTTTCGGTATCAGTACGTCACGGAGCCACCGACCAGTAGAATCGAGGCTTCGGCGAGTAGGACGCCGGTGAGGGTCAAGGTTTTCAATGGTTTTGTGCCGAGCGATTACAAGCTCGTGCCCAAGATCAACGACAGAAGGCGGTACGTGAGAACCAAGAGCCACAGGATGGTCAAGGGTGTCGTGGACGCTAGTGGTAATAACGATAATGGTAACAGTAATAATAATGGTGTTGGTAAATACAAGTGTTATTGGGACAATGGGGACGTGAATTCGAAAGTACAGCGGCAAGAGCAGCTTGGAATCGATAATAGTAAGGATAAGTTGGAGATGCTCAAAATTGAGAAACTGAATGTTGTCGATACCACGCCCACTGTTAATGCAAACAGCTACTCTGGACAATTGGGGGCTTTTGCAGGTAAGTGAAGTTGAGTCAGGACTATTTATTTGGTACACTGTTTATTTCAATTCTGGATTTTATATTTTTTTCTTGTATTTTTTGTTTCTCCTTTATAACATTTTTTTTATTTTTATTGTTGAACTAAGGTAGTTCTCTTTAAAATAAAATACTCTTCATCATAATTTTTGCTTTGTACTTTTTATCAATAAAATACATGTTTGTCTGAATTTCTAAAATATTAAACTCAAAGTTCCTTTTATAGTCGTGAACAATGCTGTTAGTTGATCATTTTTGTATTTATCGGTAAGAAAGAGTAAAAAGCACAATTTTGATTTTTTTTAAAGGTCGATTAAGTTTGTCAATTTATAAAAAATTTCATAAAAAATATATATAAAAAAAAAATCATTAAACCACATCGCATCGATAGCGTACCAGTAATATATATACGCGCGAAACGTGCCCAAGTCGTTGCGAGGCACATCCACGCCCAAGCGGATTGGCCGTTTCACCCGATGGCTAATAACAAGCCGTGCGGCTAGAAGAAACAAGAGCACCTACGGCCAAGTACAGCGTGCATCGAAGGTACCCGTATCTCAGGAGGGGACCCATTGGATCCGACATCCTTCTCGGGCCCCTCCCCCCTTCCATCCCGTACCAGCGAGACAGCGCGCGGCTTATCTATCCCCTCGGAGCACCCAGCAAGTGTATCTCCGGAGCTATAGTGGCGTGGATTGCGGAACGCGCGCGTATGGGACCCTCTCGGCGCTTCCCCCCTCTAAGCCCGGAGAGCGGACGGGCCGCGAGTCTACTTCCGTCGGTTGATATGCCGCTGTGGTATCTTAGGTAAGGGGACCTAGACCAGCCACGAGGAGGGGCCCCCCTGATGATCCCCGTGATATTTCTTGCGCACGACGTATATAAAGTGCCCGGGCCCGGACTCGCGGCTCAGAAGCGTCGCTCGCTCTCGTACCTCACGCACATTGGTTTTTTTTTCTCCGCCCACGCCTCGGTTCTTCCTGCGTCGCTTTTTTGCGCGTCAGTGACCAAAGCTACGTTTGATATCTTGTCACCGGGGGATCAGGTCTACGCTCGTGTGCTGCTGTGTTTGAGGACAATCGGCCTGGTGAGCTTTGCTTTTTCCTTCTGCATTTTAATTTTTTTCCTTTTATTTTTTTATTTTATTTTTTTTTTTTCACAAATTTGTCGCGTTTCATTACAAGCAGGGGAGTGATTTTTATTTCGTTCAGTCATTTTTTTTTCCATCTGTAGTGTTTTGTAGTTGGATGGTTTTTTGCTGAACCTCCAAGATCTCAAATTTCAGTTGTTTCAAATGCGAGCAGTACTGAAAGAAAAATCCGCTCGTACCGTTTTATTTTAATCTGACAACGTACAAGAGTATCAACCCTCTATACTTTATAATTAAAAACATGGCATGATTTTTAAGCAAAAACTTTTGGAATTTTTTTTTCACTCATCTTTTAAACATTTCACACCCGGAAGAGGTTTCTCAATTAGGTAAGGGTTGTTGAAGTTACAACCAACTAGATCAATGGAACGGAAAGATCAATCTACTTTTTTTTCTCATGCGATGCACGTTGTAATCTCGTATTGAATGCTCATTAAAAAATTTCGTACCAATTAAAATTTATTAACTTATAAGATTATAATTTTGATTCTTCTTGATGATTTTTATAAACTTTACGCTGAAATGTCTTTCATAAATATTTTACATTTAGAATATTATTTTATTTACCATTTGAATGTTTGTTTATAAAGGAGTTGAGTAAAACAATTTAGTAGCTGTACAGAAATTTCATAAATATTTTACATTTATATAATAAGTTGATTCTGCATTTATTAAAAAAAAAAAAAATTAAAATTATTTGAAATGTTTAATTACAAAAAGATTTTTTATTATTACGCCTCTTCATTTTTGCGCCATGACAAGTGATTTTATTTTCAAGTTTACATGTTTGGGGATACAAAGCCATTTGAAAATTAAAACTACCGTATAATTATATAATGTATTATGATTTTCGTCAGCAGGAACTGTTTCGTATATGCAGAACTATAAATCAATTTTCCTGCAACAATAAACGAAACAAGTAATTTTTTGTAAATGTACCAATATATTGTTGAAAAAAAATTAATCTGAGTCATTTTCATTCTCTTCTGTGAGAATAACAAGTTGTAATGATATAATTAAATTTTAAGTATTGTCCTGGTATCCAATCGATTAATCAGGAGTCATAGTGCTTTGTTTTTTCTTAAATTTCATCTGTAGGCTATGACTTTAATAGCTTGTACAATATTTCTGTAGTTATGAAACCACATATTTTGAAAAAATTTTAGTTTTATTTATACATTACTTGATCAAAATTAATTTCTCATCATCACACATTCGTCCGTGTGTGTCGAGTACTAGAAACACGGGCACATGACACGGTACTATTGTGTAAAGCCAAAGCAATGAGTCCATATATTGAACAGAAAAATCAATAAACAAATTGGCATTGATAGTATAGTGCTCTCTTTTTTATTTTTCGAATATTCACACTCATAAAAAAAAGAACAAAAATAGTACAGTACGGGTATTTTTTTTGTGATTTTTTAAATGTCATTGTTGATTACGTTTTGATCAAAAATAAAATGACTAATGTCTTCGTTGATATACATTGTAGCTACAACTGTATATTGTTTATTTTTAAGAAATGCACCTACCTAGAGGGCCAAACACATGATTCTCGAAAAATCCCTCTTGATAATAAATGATTTCTCTATTGTTTGAAAAACTACATGATGATCGTAGATTGTTAAAAAAAAAAAAATAAAAAATAAAGAAATAAACCAAGCCCCTTGTCTCGTGATTGCCCACAGCGCCAAAAAGCAAAATGAAGTCAATGATGTTCGTACTCGCCGCGTGTCTGCTGGGCGTAGCACTCGCCAGCCCCGTGGAAAACCTCGGCGACAAGGTGAGCGTCGCCGAGCAGCAGTCCGCGACGACGCTTACCGAGCGCGCCAAGTACGAGGAGGAGCTCCTGCGCAAGCTCAACGCCAAGTGCTCGCACAACGACATAAGCAGCTGCGTCATGCTCAAGCTCGTCACTTACATGAACAAACTGCTGAAGAAGGCCTCGATCGAGCTCACCGATGACATCGAGATCCGCAAGACCAGCCTCGCGACCGAGGAGGTCGTCAGCTTCCAGTCGTCCGGACGCAGCGGCCAGGACGATGAGTCCGAGTTTTTCGATTTGATCGCCAACAAGGTATACGCCTTCGTCAAGTCGCGGAGCATCAAGTGGAGGTTCCTGCCCGAGGACGACGTCGTTGTTTCCGCCAAAGAGGACGAGAACGGATCGCTCAACCTCGGCTTGTCCATCGAACGCACTGAGAACGCTGTTCAAGATGGTAATTTTTTACCCTTTTTTTCCATTCGACACCACTACCACCTGCACCGAGACGTTTTATTTTGATCCGCTCAAATATATCTGATATGGCTGTATGGTAGTAAGGAAAAATGTAGATCAGTATCGGTGATAAGAATGTTAATTTGGCAAAAATTACGTTTATCTGACGATGTCGAACGAGAAGCTCGGCAGTGTACGCACGTTCCGCATACCTGTTGAGAATGCGTTTTTATTCGTGCGTTCGTTCTAGATGCAAGTGGGAACCGGTTTTGCTGTACTTGTGTATCGGTAGGTTAACGGTTTTTGGACGGGAGGCATATTTGCGATTCAAACTTTATTGAGAGATAAAGCCAAAACCAGCCCACCCATCGAACTGCAAATGAAATCATGCCTAGTAGATCTAACATTTTTTTTTCATTATCCAATTGACGAATGAGATCACAAAGATTGAGGCATCTTGTTTTCTTTTTTTTTTTTAAATAGATGAAAAAAGTGTGTCATTGCAACCTGAATCACGTATTGAGATTTCGTGTGCGGACTTAAATATTCTTTTAACGTTTACGATAATCAGATGTACATATTTGTTTTTATTACAATGTTCGTGGAAGCCAATATTCTTGCACGAATAAAAACTTATTTTGAGCATCTTAAGACTCAACTTTTTTTTTTTGATAATTTTTTTAAAACAATATTTTGTTGATCCCCTTATAACATGAAAATTTCAGAGCATTTCAAGTAAATTCTGATCTTGTGAATAACGCTTCCAGTACACCCTACTCGCGTGATCTCATTTCATACGATTATTGAAGTACCGTAATGATTACATGATGTCGTTAAAGCTATATGAATTACGCGCCATTGAGGATGTATTATTTTTTTTCATCATCTCTTATTACCTTATCGAACGACGTGCTAAGTACTTGGGAAAAGTTTAACATTGCAAACACATGGTGTTTATAACGTCAAGTAAATTATTACCTTTGAAGATAAGTAAGCCAAATGAGCTTATGCAGTTGAACAAAGGCTTTGCGATTCGATATACCGTTACTCAAATTTCCCTCATATCCAAAGAATAAAGCTAATTCATGAAATGTTCATTACAGGCCGTGGCAAGAAAAACAACATGGGCCCACTGCTCGCCGCAGCTGTCTTGAAAATCGGCCTGATCGGTGGTCTTGCGTTCAAAGGACTAGCTCTTCTGGTTGGAAAAGCCCTACTCCTGTCCAAGATTGCCCTCCTGCTGGCTGGTATAATCGGCCTGAAAAAGCTCTTCTCTCACCAGAAACACGTGACCTACGAGGTCGTGGCCCACCCACACCACAGCGCAGGTCACATCGAGAGCCACGGACATGGTGACTACTCTGGTGGTTGGGCCAGAACTTTCCAGGAACGCCAATCCGAGGCTGCCCAACAAATGGCCTACGCGGCGCACATACCCCAGTGAGACCGGTAGGAGCTCTGTACATCAGTCTCGCGTCGCGAGATTGATCGTGAGAAATTGGGAACAAGATGGCGAAGAATGCTCGTGTGAACAACCCTCCTCGATTGGGGGTTGAATTTGATAATAGATGGACTTTGTGAGATAACAGGTTGGATCTGTGAGCAATCCAGTTATGGAATGTGGACATTTGGTTGAGAAATTAGGTTAGTTGGCCGGTCGGTTGAACGATCGTGCTTGAGAAGCAGGAGCAACTCCCTCCCCCTTCTACATGTTTAACCAGTTTAATGGTGCATTCCGCTAACCCCATTTCCCTAACGATTCGCTAAAGGAGTTCCGTCGCTCTTGGTACCGTTTTTAATCTATACTTCAAGAGTAATCGTTGATCAACCATAAATATAACATGTTCTCGTTTAAAAGAACAGTATTTTCAATTAGAATCGACATTGTCCGATCCACGTCGAATCATTCACAGTTCCATTGTCCAACAGCTTCGTAGCATCGACATCTATTGGCACCATAACGGTGATTTACAATTTTCAAGCATTCTTTGTCGTTTTCCCGACGTCTCGATAAATTCGTGCATCTCTTACCTTCTAAAAGGCCCATTATCTTAAGTTGACATTCCATATTCGTTTTTTAGGAAAAACAAAAACGCTAGAATCTCTTCTATATACCTTCCGTCATTAACCAATCATTATCATAATCATTATCATCGATCATCGTCTAACATTCCCTACTCTCAGTATACTCTTTCAATGACTGACCTCAACGACAACAATAACAACGGTAACCACGATGACGATGTCGACTTTCTTACCAAAAAATTGAGAAAACAAACCAAATACAGACAATGTGACTCATTGACGTACTGGACTGAATGAACAAGTACAGAAGTACCATTTTTTAATTTTATGTACTCATACACATTGGGACCCCATGAACTTAACATAGCTGCCACTGTTGTTGATAATGATGATGATGGTGGTGGTGTCAATGGTGTTACCAGTATGTCCTGAATACGTGGAACCAAACACTGTTGCCTATCTATGTTTTTGTACTGTTGCACGCACTTAGTATCTAGGCTAATGCAATTTTTTTTGCCCGTATACGTGCGTACGCCACACCAAACACATGTACATAATCGAGATTCACTTCTCCCCCTTCACCACCTTATCTTCCTCTTACTTTTTTTTTGTACTTACTGTGTAGCGTATGGATAAATCGGATCATTAAATTTTCGATGGGATGAGTGACTACGAAAAACCGGACCATCCAGAGCAACATCAACCACACGTATACTTTGAAAATATAGGCGGCAAAATTACTCATTCACACCGATGTACGTACAGACGATACATATTTATGACCTAAGAGAAAATGCCTTCATTGAAGCTGAAGATAAATATAGTGAAGTATATACTTACGTACGTGTAGACTACTATTTAGCCTACTTTCTCAAAAGAATGAGGAAGCAAAAGATTAAGAGGTATATATTAAAGTGAGAAGAATATATGAAAAAAGAAAGGAAAAGAACTGGTTCGATCAAGGTCATTAGTAAAACTGCACTGCCAACGACGATGACTTTAACGTTGTAGGCACGCACGCACGTAACATCAGATTACTTTATCTTTTGCATTTCATTATCCACAAGACTGGATAGGACAGAACCGGAAGTCGACTTGTACTCAACACCCACCGAGTCATTACCCTCTTTATTCTTTGATCTTCAACTTTTTCCTTTTTCCAAAGTATCTTTTTTTTCTATCAAAGAACTGAAATGAAAAACTACTAAACCCAGTGGCATTTTCATGTTGCTATCACGACTTTGCAATACCGTTACAATATTATTACAACAACAGTGACAAGAACTATTACGTCTACCTTTTCTTGTTTTTTCTGTGACTTGTACTTTTTTTCACTAATAACAGGGATTTCTTCAATTATCACTATCGTACTTGCGGGATCAAACAGTCTTTACTACATAACTTTTCTAACTATAACTAATTTTAGGGCTTTCCAAGTTGTACCATTGTAATGACTGTTATCGCTACTTTCACAGTTGCCACAAATGCAATGACCACTGATACTAATACGAAGACTGTAAAAAAAAATTACCACTTTCTCTATGACTGCGACTGATACTATAGTCACTATCAAAATGAAATCATACTACTTTAATAACTACTAAAACTACTACTATTGGTATACTAGTATCACTATTATTACTTCTAAAACTTTTACAATCACAACTACTGACAGTAACAAGTTTTATTACCACTACCACTACTAATATTACTACTGCTGCTACTCCTACGACTATACGACTATTACTATTACTGCTAACGCTACTAATTCTTCAACAGCTATTACTTCTTTTATTTCTTTAACTAAAACTACTAGTGTTACTACGATAGGATTGGTACAACTATCTCATGACTAATATTACTATTGAGACAGTACAACTACCATTACTAAAAATAAAACTTACAAGATTACTCGTGTTTTGCACTACTACTGTTGACACAATACTGGCCACTACTGCTCCTACTACTATCATTATACTTGCGACTGATGGTACTGTTTCTAGTACTACATAAAAATCCGTGGACTTGAGGGACAAACTACTTTTGCTTCATGACTGTACTTTATCATTCACCCCCAAACCTTTCATCGTTTACGGATATCTTGTCATGCCTCTCACTAAATCTCTCGTTGTCGCTTCGATATTTATGTATCATCATGCTAGGAGGAAACCATCGAATTTATTATTGTTACGTATAATCACGACATTGCTGTTTTCATTATCATATTCTGGTTCCGTCCTCTATCATATAGTTAACTTTTAATTGTATAAATAATTTATTTATGTCTACTTGACAAGAGCGAAAGATTGTATAGTAACGTGTTACTGTTGTCTAATGTAAAAATAAATATTTATTGTTTTTTTATAAATACTCCTACAATATGTTTATTTCACCCCCTCCTCGAGCATATACATTCATGAGAGTAGATAAAAGTAAAGAGCGTAAAATTGATTTATCCGCGTATCAGACCAGACGAACCACACAAATAAGCCACATTACATGACGCGTGGGAGCGAAAAACGGGAGAAAGGAAAAAGAGACACCTTATTGCGCACAGGTATCGTGTGAGGGAGAGCTGAAATTACGCTTGAAATCTTGTCTCGGCTCGATTCACGGCCAAGTACGATTACCGGAGCTCCGACTTAACGCCGCAACGAGTAAGTATTATTATGGGATGTTGGCAGTGACCGCGAGTATAACGCATCGGAGGAAATAGAGCCATGCGAACTTGTTCGGCTTCTGCTTCTTTTTTCTTTTCTCCCTCCATACGTACATGCACACCTACGTGTGGCAGATATCCTCGAAGCACGTACTATGAAAAAGTAGATAAGTAGAGTAATTCTATGTTGGGTGCGATGTACTCTGCACGTGCCACATAAGTCGATTTTTCATGGTTTTTATTTTCATTTTTTTTTTTGCTCGAGTACGCCCAGCCTGCAGTTAATACAGAAATCATACGAGCTTTCGTTTCACGCGATTACTAGAGCCGTTGATACTCCTTTTATTGATAATTGAGTTTTACTTGATTAATTAAGTAAATTAATGGCATTTGGTGATTATGAGAGAAAAAAAAGGGAGTCTGCATCTTTAAAGGGTAATACTACATCGTATCTCTTCCGTCAGTTGAATAAGGTTCTATCTTGAAATTAAAATCTCATAACTCTATTCAATCCTAAAGTAAAAAATAAATATTCTTGATTAATACATGGCTTCATTCACTACAAAACAGAATGGGATGGAAATTTGTTTGATAAGGTGATAAAATGTTGGGATGAAGTCTCTTTTACATTTTAAATGAAACTTTTTTCTTGATACACGTCGACGTGTACTTGAAGTTAAATGTTAAAACATAAAATCATATCTTTAAGAAATGAACATCAATAATTAAAACTAGTCGATTGTTGGATTCCAGTTAATTTTTTTTTTTTTTCATTCAATAACTTTGATGTATCACTAAAAATTACTAGTAACATCGATTAAAACGAGAACTCATTTTAGCATCCCCAAGTAATAAGAAATTAAAAAATAAATTATCAAGTTCTCTGCTATTACCAGCAATCCAAAACCACAGACGTGTATCATGAAAAAAAAAAAAAAAAAAAAAAAAAAAAAAAAAAAAAAAAAAAAAAAAAAAAAAAA